AGTATTTTCAAAACCATTTTAACATTACTTTTTGATTGCACATTTAAATGAAAGCAAAACATACACAGGAAAAAGTTAGTAAAACAGGTGGGAATTAAAATGCTTTTATTTTATTCTTTTTGTCACACAGAAAACTACCCACAAACGTGAAGGATGACTTTTGCAGTTTGACTTAAGAGGTTTTACGTCACTATAGCATGATTTTCAACTTCTAAACATAGCGAGCAGTACGTACTACCCAGTAGGGTTTTTTTTCTGCAAAGAGTTCTTGAAGCTGAATTTAGAAAATCATACTGCCAGTAGAATTCTCTTTGAGTTTCTTGACAATAAACATCGTACTAGCCTACATGTACCAGTAGCATTCTCTCTGCAAAGAGTTCTTTAAAACTAACTTCACTGATAGAAATGCTAAACCGATTCTTGGTACAAAGTTAATGTCCATGCTCATTCAAGTTAAGTTGCATATCACTTTTTAAGTAAAATACTGCTCTGTTTTTACACTCTCAGGATCGTGTTATTGTTTCAGTATATTTGCAAATCTGGAAACACACATGTAACACTTAGTTGGCGAAGAAATATTTCAAATATTTGGAGAGGTTTTCTCTAGTTTATCAAATTCAAAGGTGTTTTATTCTACAGACCTGAGGTTTGTAATAAGTTGAGCTGTATAAAGCGAAAAAAGTTGTACCCAGTACAATGTGTCTTTTGTAATACACGTCAGGGTGCTATCAACATGTTTTATTATTTCAGTCATGTAGCTTTGCATTTCGTTGCTTTTAAGAAAGCAAAAAAGTAACGAAAACAACAGTACTCCAAATGAAATTCCTCTGTTTCCGTCCTGATTCTATAGTTCTATCAATTGTTTGCAAATAAGTTCAAGGACAGTTTTTTTAATCCTCGGCTCTTACCAATAGTTTGTAAATTCTAATCCCATCTACGAAGATTGAACTTATTCACTGAGTAAATTTGTTCAACAGTTACTGCATTATTGTAAAATGTCACCGCACGAAGTTCTATGATTTATACAGTTCTGAATTTTCAGGAAAATAGGCCCCTATTATGAATAGAAAACAGCCCAACGGATATTACGACTAATACAAGCTCATTTGTGTCTGCAAAAAGGGAAGCAGGAGGCCCATCTCTCCTTGAGAGTCACCAGGCGGCGCTGTTTCTGTCAGATTCTGCACTGTTTCCAATGGGCACGTATTTAGTTTAATGCAACCATTGATCTCCATATATTTTATAATGGAGATTAATGAATGCAACCATATAGACCAACAACAGCGGGCGCCAGAGTGTACTTTCACGAACGAGGCCATTTCCAAAAACCAAGGGCAGACTTGACTGTCATAGACGTAAACACTAGCTCGATTTGTTTGGCCCACCTGCATTTTTATCCACTACGAACACAGGGCGAGGGTTTCCCTCCTTTTCTCCGAATGACGCAATCTACATTCACAATCTACAATCTGGACATGACCAGACATTTTTTGACTGACACTGGATTATCGCCGAGGTGAAATTCATTCGCGGCGTTCCGGAACATACGCAGTACGGGCAACGTGGGTAACAAGTGATCTGATAGGCAGACAGTGCGCATGTGATCGGGAATAAAGAAATCGTTTTGTCGACGTTTGATTGTGGGCGAAACAGCCTTTAAGTGTGCATGTGCATGTGAGACAGTAATACCTGATGAAGAAAAGTACAGTAGAACAGTGTACCTCCGTGGATGGGATTCATTTAGGGGATGACTGGAATCCTTTTATGGAAAAAAAGGGTTAGTGGTAGCCCACAGTTAGTCTAGTTACCGTTACTACCACGAGTGTTACCCATCACTATGTACAAAGGGAACGGCCTAGAGCTGGACGCGTATTGTTTTCCTAGGAGGGTTAGGGATAATTATCATATATGGGTGTGGTTCCCGTCCCCTGTTCGGGCGCTGGGCGACGAGCGAACTGCGGTTGGAATTGATCTTCGCGAGTTCACGAACGACTAGGATATGCACGCGTGTACGTGTGTCCCACAAAATGAACCATCCTCACTCTCCGCCACTGAAAACCGCAACCCGTTAAGAACATCAGTCTTTAAAGTAAATATTTAATCTTTTCAACCAATGAGGGAGCGCTTCCGCTCAAGGCGGATACGGTTGGTCCCGTGAAATCAGTAGATGCTCTTATACCAGCAACTATGTCGATTTTTTTTCTTTTCAACAAGATCAGTTGTGTTTTGGCTTCTGTGACGCACTGATGAACTTCCAGAATATTAGTAATGCTATGACGCTACAGACCACAATACATTGAGAACATCAATCATTTAAAGTAAATATTTTCCTCAAGCAATAATATTTTATTTATATACAGGTCTCAATAAAGCTAAAATTTTGAGTGGCCGGTATACGTACATTCAAGTCGAAAAAACCTCCAGCTTAAAAATATTTACTAGAAATACTATCTTCGTTGCAATCGTCATCGTAGTTAGCGATTAATAAACAATGGAATTAAAGGTAACTTCTATTTGAAAACAGTCTATGTACAAATTGCACTTTACAAAACAAAAAGATAAACACTTTGCAGATTATTCTTACGACACAAGGGTGATATCCGGGGAAATTGAAAAATCCACAAATTAATTACCAGAGGTTGAATGGGCCCCCAGCAGCGTAAGGTCTTTGCTGTATAAATTTGTGTTTGCCTCAAGACACCCCTTAAAATACCTTTTTCTTCTGTTCTATATCAACCGTAGTATACACAAAAGCACTACAATGGTAAACTTGGTTTTTTTTTCAGATTTTAACAGAGAGTGTTTGAAAAATCCAGAAGTCAACAAAATCCTGATAGGAAAAAAATCCTACAATCAGGAAAAAAACCTGACAAACCTGATCCCTGCCAAAAGGATTGGTAATGCAAAGCCGCCTTTGTTTGAAAAGTCCGACAATAAGGTACACGATAAAGTTATTTTAATTGAGCAAATTTTGCTCCCGATAATGTACCAGGTCTCAAATTAGTACTTCCTCCAAGACCTCCCCAACAGCTACGCAGGGATCCATGTCCTAGTTCTAGGTTCAAATCAGATATTTTAGTTAGTGGCTTCGTTAATCGAGCTGTCTAAGTGTGTTCGGTGAAGTTCGACTGTAGCCCAACCCCACTTCGGTCGCACATCGGGAAACGCCAACGAATGGCATTTGTCACAGCGACGAACAGAAGACAGCAAACGGCGACAAGATGCCATGGGGTACGACCCTTCCCCAAAGGAATAACCTCTGCACTTGGGATGAATGAGTCGGTATAAATTCCGTATACATGTATTGCTGCGGCAAGCGGTGCTTTTATATGTTGGTGTCTATACAAAACGGATGCAGCTACGAGTCGCAGACACGCGTCTTACGTATACTGCGAGACGTAGCCATGACATAAGGGCGCAGTCTCGGCTGACATCAAGGTAGTCATGAAGCGAGAACTTGTAGCAAAGCCGTTCACCAAAAACCGCGCCTTGGCCGTCTCCACAGCGCAGGCATACGTTGTATTGTTTTGAATTTGACCAGTTAGCAAGCCCTCTCCTCCCGATTCATAATGTTACTGCGATATCAAATTCAAATACTGATGAGTCACTGTGTAACTAACCAAGTGCCTGGGTATAATGAGAAGCCTCGGAAAGAGACCGGAGTTCTATACGATTGTATGTGCTTAAGAGCAGAAGCGTTTGTTTTTCTGAAGTATTTGATGCGTGGTTAGATTAAGTTAGCTGCTGTTTTGATGACGTCAGAAAACAATGTCATACACAACCACATAGACTCCGTCTTCTAGACTCAATCCACAAAGCCCACAAGGACTAACTGGTGAACATCAACTTAACCTGTCAGACATTTACTTGTGCAAAAAGGAAAAGGTCGCCGACCGAATAGTATCCCTTTCACAATTCTCTGGACCTTTTGCGACAAAAGGAATATTCACTTTCTTTTCTGAACATGCTTTCTCAAAAGACGAAAGGGCTCGTTTCATGCGTTTAATCAAGGTATCCTGATCACCGAGTACCTTGATTGGGAAAAAGTAACGACAGAACTCTCTGTATGCGTGTGGAACAAAAACGGATAGGGGACAAGCAGGCACATCCTGAGGGAACCGAGCGAGGATTAGTGGCGGAAGGCGGGAACAGAATCAGGGCATCAACCATCCAATCCGATACTCATCGCTGTTCATGAAGGAGGTTTTTAAGGCAAAATGCCATAATCAAAACCTGCCCATAATGCGTTTCAATAGGCACATAATCAGCTTCAAGTAGAAAAAGGGAGTTCAGTTGAGCTAGCTTTGCGCAGTGAAGTGATACATGTAAGTATTAAGGATGTCCGTGGTTTGAATCAGGGTAATTTTTCCTTTTTTCTTTCAGCCTCTTTCCCGTCGGAAAAGGTCAATTTTCAAAGGTTATCTAATTTATTGCCCGAATTGTAGCCTTAACGTTGACAACTTTCATAAAAAGTGTAATTTCAATGCGTTGCCGCCTGTAGCCGATCGGTTCTGAGCTTTGCACTTATCTCACATTACGACAATGGTAATATATTACCACCACGCTTCGATTATGGCATTTCCCTTCAAAAGCCCGAGCATCGGGTGCACCTGCTCCACTGCCCAAATGGCTGACAAGCAGGAAAGAGAGGGAAGTGGTATTATTCAACGAGAGGGGTTATCATGGGTATGAAGTGAACTACGTAATGGTGTTTGCTCATGTGCAGTTTTTGTAGGCCCCCTATATGAGGATTTTTTCCTACACCTTGAGTCTAACCAAAGGACTTGCCATGCTAAACATTTATGGATTTCATCAAATGACCTTTCCGATTTTTCCACTGGTTATGTTGTAATTACAGGTATTAAAGTCACACTCAAAAGGAAATCAATCGCTTTAAAGAGTGCAACTAAGAACGCCAAAAGTGCAAGTAAATTTAAGTTTCTTTCCAGTTTGCTAGTAGGTACAGGAGGGGAAAAACAGTGCAATGTCCATCGTAATTCCACGTACAAGGTATGATTAACACCAGAATGCGTCCAAACGGAACAAGTTGTCGACCTTTCTCTTTAAAACATAAAACTAAAATAAACCTCTGATTGCCAAGAGTTTCTAAGAAATACCTGGAAGAATTTGGCATTACACCATGCGGCGTCAAAACCAATTATTACCAGTAGATGCAGTACGGGTATGCAATTGAACACTGAAATATTCGCCGTGTAAAATAATATCAAATAAATGAATTTAGTATAGAATTAATGTATTACCCTGGGGGTATTCTCTGGCCTCAGACCTTTCACTACAAAATCAGCTTGCTATGGAAGGCATCCACTGACAATGATTTCAGTCATTTGGTAAAATAAGCACCTTTGTTATCTTTAGAAATAATAGTTTGAAGATACGACGGTAACTGTGACAGGCACTGTACCCAAGTACATGTACTTCACCAGTAATTCAACAATACTTTTTCGCAAGTAATCAAAACTTCTCTCACTAACAGTAGAGGGTAAACAATAGCAAAACAATGTCTTTCTTGCACTCCACAATGAACACTTTGTTGCGTTATCCCTGAAAGAGCCAGGTGGGGTGGAATCTGTCTCTCTGAGATTTCCCGCAACATCGTTGAAATGGTTTCCTTTTTCATACTGTGTCCTCATTTTTCCAAGGAATGTCTTGCAATGATTTTGACACAAATGTTATTATAAGAATCCAACAAGCTATTCTTAAACCCAACTCTCACTTATCCGAGACAGGTCGGTTCAAAATGTCAACTTTTCCCACTGACAACGAACTCAACGCATGTGGGCTGACGTGTGAGGCCATGAATTATGTCAGAGTTGTGTTTATAACGAATGTTCTTACATACCATATTTTCAATAGATCGGGCACAGAATATCAGGGACAACCAACCCCCCGGGCACTGGGATGGTTTGATAAAGCTCGGCTCTTCCAGGGTATAAATGACACGGGGATACTTTTGATGTGCTAGCGGAGAGTTGTGAAAACACATGAAGAACTGTACTTGTGAAGGACGTATACGTATCTCATACATGTAAGTGTGTTTTTAAACTCAATTTAATGAGGGTTTCTAATACTTTTCCTCATGATAGCTGAACCACATCAGTTACGTGTATCAAACGTTTTCAAGAAATTTGCCACAACAATTTTCAACAAGAAATTGTCAGACATGGCACATAAAATCTTTGACTCAACTATGTAGTTTTTCTGTACAGCCCATTTCACATCTAGAAATCAAATTCGTGATTTTGCAAAAATCAACACCTGCTAAGAATGAATTTAAGTGAGGTTCCAAAGGTTTGAAGTGGAATTCCTGATTCAGAGAACTTCAGTTCTTTACAAAAAAGTGCTTCCCACAAAAACACAAACATTAAAATTTTGCTTCCACAAAAAACTTTTGTTGTGGAAGGTCAGACAAATTAACTAAAACAAATGATAATAAAAATGTCACTGTATTTTAAAACCAAATTACAAAATATTTGGAAAAAATACATCTTTAAGGTAACTGGCTTTTACTTACAATACAATATAGTAATTACCGTTAGCATTACATATATATTAATATTTACCTACTTTGTGCTATTGCGTTGTCTTTATACAGTCTCTAATGCTTTGAACGGATACGGTGGGCCTCATAAAGCAGTGCCAAATGATTTTGGCACTTCTGAGATACGGTCGATGCAGGCAAGTGTCTCAGCAAGGAGCTTCAGTGCTTCAACTCCATTTGCCATTTGTCTAGAAGAGAAACATATAACAAAAAAAAGAAAAATATGAACCACTTTGGCATCCAGGTGAAGATCTGTTACATATTAAACTAGAGTCCTACATGTAGCTTCCAGTGGATTGTAACCAGATCAGCCATGATAGCAAAGTCTTCCCAATATTGATTCAGGTCCACCAAAGGGACCCGAGAAGATTTGTGTCCCTGAGCAGGTTAATGTACAACAATCCTCTCTTAACTCCAGTCCAACTCAAACTGTCTACAAGGCATATGATGGGAGTATTAAGCTCACATTCAACCATACTAGCAGCAAAGCAGAGTACCTGCTTGATGAATGTAATTTATGAAAGGATCCATTCAGCCGGTTGGGGAAGTAATGAAGAACCATGCACTCTACAGCAATGCATCACAACTCACTTAATAGATGCATCGGCTTCTTTTGCTGCAGTGGCAAGCTTGATGGAAGCAGCATGGGACTTTTCCTTCAGTTCCTCTAATTCTGTCCCCTCTTCCAGCTTCTTGTTCTTGGTAGTGAGGGCAGCAATCTCAGACTAAGCCAGAATTGAACAAACACAACAGTTTGTACATGTACATTGTACATGAGGAAAAGCAAACCAAGACCAACCCCCAAACAAACAAAAACGAAATAAAAAAAAACTAGAACTAGACCTAGAACCAATTCCAAAGCCAAACGCAAACCCTAAACCAAAATCCAAAATCCACATCCAAACCCCCCCCCCAAAAAACTAAAACCAAAACCAAACCAACAGTCCCCACCGGTACACAGGCAAATATCATCTGAAACAAACCAAACCTAATGCAGCACAACCGAAAGCCTGGTCCCAACCGAGGCCGGCCAAGCATAGCCGATCCTGACATTTGACGGGACCAGACATCCCCATGGCAGCAAGACCACTTACATTATAACCCTGCTTGATTAAACCCAACCCCAGCCTACCCCAACCAATTAAAAAACCGATGCCATTCCCAAGCCAAATTAACCAACTACCCTTTCTTAACCTAGGCCTGCAGGTAGCCAAGCCCAGCATTCTGAACACAAACCCAACCAGAACCCACTTTCAAAAGCTCAACCAAGCCCAACTGAAAACAGTTCAAGCCTGTTCTCTTTCAACCAAAACCAATAAGATCTTAAGACCAACTGAATCCTTAAGGAAGCTTCAAAGGTCAAACCCTGCCCCCACATACAGTGACATCCAACATAAACTTAACGCTATCCCTTCCCAACCAAAAGCCTGCACCGAAACGAGCCAAACTTTAAATCCAACTTTTGCCTTAGTGTACAAAATACCCACTCCATCCAGCATTCTCAGGATATCCTTACTGCACAACCTTCTATTCACACGTTAAGTCAAGATTGGTCAATTTCTCTATAATGAGATCTCATTCAATAATTGAAAATTGACTCGGCCATTCCTTGAGCAAAACTACAACTATTACCTTTAGGCTTTTTATTTCAGTCTTCAATTTGGTGATAGTGTTTTCCGCTGTGACAGCTCTCTCCTGCAAGGAACATAAAAAGTATGCATAAAGCAAACAGCAACTGATGAGACGAGTGAATTCACCGTACAATTCGCCAGGCATACATGTACATGTACGTGCATTTTCATATTAACTGCATCTGTGAGCAGCTCGATGAGATTTCCTAAAACTGCCTTGTTTACATGGACATGTATGTAATGGCAGAAAAGTGACAGGATTTCTTCGCTCAGGCTCTTCCCATACCTTTGAAGAAGCAAAAGGAAACGCTGAGGAAACGCCGCAGCTTACTCAATATGTGCAGGTAAACTATGTTCGGTGGCATGTCTTTGCTAAGCTGATGTCTTTGAAGTTCTACAAAACTTGTTATCTACATACATAGTTAACCTTTCATTTCTTGATTGTTTTGGTGATTTTCAATTTTATTGGTGAGTCTTTATTTACTTTTCTGTTTCAAAGTTGTTCTGTTTGATTGGCTCATTTTATACTTTTCATTTCATTTCATCCACTGTACATGTATTTTACTTCTTGGTTACACCATTTTATTCAACGATCATGCATTTCTACTACCGGTAAGAGGAAATAGGTTACATTGCATGTGTATGTACTTGCTCATGGAATCAACACGTAATACCAATACTTTCCAAACAAGACTGAGTTTCAGCTCACCGTAGTTCTCTTAAGGTTTGCCTCAACATGGTGGACCATTGTCTCCAGGGTCTTAGCATCCTCAACCTCCCGGTCTCTCAACCTCCGCATTTCGGCCTCCATCCCCTCAATTCTGGAGGGAAAAAATCAAGAGACAGCACAGCTTTCAAGCAATCTACAGAACCGTTCAAGACTTCTCAAATTTGCCTGGGAAACAGCACAGTACATGTATAGCAAAGACTGCGGATGGAGTAACTCTATTTTTACACCTTATGCATAACAGGCAGCACTTGAAAAAATTCTGTGAGAAAATTTCATGGAACATTTGCTGACAAGCTTTGGAGATACTGGTACATACAAAGTGCTATAAATATTTGTCACATGGACAAATTCATACATACATGTACATGTATTAAAGAAGTGTTTGGGTGTTTTGAGGATGAATGTTATGACTCAGGATGCACCACCACTGACTGATGTATTTGAAGATGATTAAACATAGATAAAGTTATTGACAAAAATGGCCAAGGTTGCATTGAGAATAAAGGAAAAAAGAGGAAAAAGAAAAACAGTTTTGCATTTACGCAAAAATTTAAGTATGTACAATATGTAAACAAACAAAAATGCCACCTTAAAACCCCTTCGCACCGGGAGGTGGCTATAGCTGCCGTAAAAATTGAGATCCTCAGCCCGCTTTTCAGCTATTTTCTCGGCCCACGCTTGAGCAAACACGGTGAAAGAAGGCAGACCCTGGCTCTTGTATATATAGTAATTGGTCTTTGTGCATAGCCCAGAAATGAAAAGACCGATTTTGCATCATAATCACCAGCTTCACAATAGTCCCCACTTTGAAAAGAGGCTACGGGAATGTGGAGACTGGAATTCTTGGAGTCGGCTTTTGGGAAGAGATTCCCGCCGTCAAGGGGTTAACGTGCATGTACTGGTCTACTGCATTTTAGAAACATATAAGAAAGAAACTTTATCTTTTGAAGTTGAAAAAATCCTGTGAAGAACAAAAACTTATGTCTGACCCTATACACTGCTACACACATAAAACCTGCACAGTACATGTACATGTGCTTCAGCATTATTGTCCTTGTTATTTACATGTACCTGTAGACAACCCGACCAATCCCCTAAATTTTCCTCCATGAATTTCTCATTACATACAGCTCTTCTACACAAACTTTTACTCAAGATTCCTTTTTACATTTTTAAATTCTGTTCATTGGCAGTACCGGTGTTTCACAATAGCGTGCCATCAAGAGTTTGCAACGCGTTGGCCAATCACAATGCACAAGATCTGTCGACCCAATGCGTGTTGGGAAAGGGTCAACAGATTTCGCGCACTGCTATTGCTAAACGCGTGGCAAACTCTTGGAGGCGCACTATTGTGAATCGCCCGTATCCCATAAACATCCGACAATTCTCTGCTATTCATGGTTTTGAGCCATAGCTGGGAAAATCTCGCAAGGCATTTACACTCCCTGCTTTGCTCTTCAGCTTCTGGTAATATATTTGACCATCAGATATGTGCAAGAGTCATATAGTGGCTTTGTATTTTACAACTACAGAGCACACCATATCCACAAAATGATGTACATGATACATGTACCGTACTGTACGTGTTGAAGAGGGTGGATCCAGAAGCAAATGTTGGGGGGGCAACTTGTGTAGAGGAGGCCGAAAAATTGGAACTAATTTACTTTTGTGTGTGTTTGCCTTTCTGAGCGGTGAGGCTACTGACAGTACTGTATGTACAGGTACATGAATATGTTGGAGCATTTTTCACCAGGAAGGAAGGAAAAAGAAATACAATGTAACCAAAAAGTGAATTTTGCCTCATTATTAAAAAAATTTCCCTTTCAGGGAGGGAGTCTGACCCCCGTCCCTCCAGACCTGCCCTTGCCGGTACATGTACCAGTACAATGTACATGGCCCGCACAGATCTGCTGGTGATACATGAATAAAAACAATGCAAATGAAAACAAATGTATTGTTCAGTGGAATGTTAGTAATGTGCGTCTCGTGATCAGGCTGTCATGTCATACCGGTATTTAACATGTTTAAACACACAATTTTGGTGTACATATAAGAAGGTGAAATGACACAGACACTGTGCAGAAATTCAGGATGCCAAAACATTTGAACTTCAGTGGAATTAAAAAACTTAGATAATGGCCTAGCTTATGGTACGTGTATTTCTGTTGGCAAGGTGGTTTCTTGACATTAATACCTAGCTATTCAACTTACGGTAAATAAAAAAACATGACAAGAATGTGCAGTAATTCCATGAAAACAATACGGGCACTAAACCACAAGCAACAGCTGATACTATTACCATCTACATGTACATGTTGCCTACGGTATATGTACCTCCGGCCACCATATGATTCTATTTACCTTCCATTTTATACAGGTAGCTTCTTACTGACTGAAAATTTGATCAAGAAATATATGAAGTAAACAAATTTGAGGTTCTGCGTATTCATGCAAATGAAGGAAAACTAATGAGCTTGCTTACTTTTTGGCGTCTTTTTCTACGGCCCTCTTGGCATCAACTAGTTCTTGTTTCAGTTGTCTGTTGTTGCTTCTTAGCCTGGTAACCTCAGCCATTAAATCCTCAACATTATCCGGCATAGACTGACCGAGTGGGACCTCATAGTCCGTCTTGCTTTCCCCGTTTTCCTTGGCTAGAATCTCTGAGGACTTATCCGGGGCCATGCCGTTTGCCTGGGGCCTCGGACTCTGGTAGATGCCCTCATGGCCATTTTCGGCGGCCACCGCGTGGACAATCTCCGGGACCGATTGCGTGGTTTCTCTCTTGGTCGGCGGCTCAGGGGCCCTCTTGGGAAGTTTCTTCCGGTGGCCATGTGACTGTGCCCGGGCTCGCTCCCGGCCTGGCTTGGGTCCCAGTGAGGATTCGTCCACCTCAGTGCCGTTGCTCACTGAGAGGGTAGGTACTGATGTCAGGGAAGCGGACAGCGAGGATGGGGACTGGAGGTCTTGAGAATGGACAGTGGCATCCATGTAATCCACCACCAGCTGGCTCTTGGTATTGCCGGCTTTGTTGGTGGCGGCGGCCGCCTTGTGCTTCCTGGGACTGTGGCCATGGGTGTGGGCCCTGGCCCGCTCCCTGCCATGCTTGCGGTCACCCGACTTGGACGGCCCGTTACTCATGTTGGTCCCTGTGTTGCTGCGCGTTGTCCTCTCAGGCATATCCTGGTCGTCATCCTTTGTGGCATAATCATATATAAAGTCCACAAACTCAGCTCCCCGGGCTGCCTTGTCAACGTCAGTTGCTATGATCTGAGGGGCTTTCACTGGATCTGTGGACGACCCTGACTGTGAGTGAGCGTGGAAGTCGGCATTCACACTATGGCCGTGGGGAGGAATTGGAGGTGCTGGGTTGATGGCACTCTGAGCAGAACGATGAGGCTTACCTCTGGAGCGGTTAGGAACGCCGCTACTCGTTGCTCGTCTCTGGGATGTCTTTCCGTCTGCAGCACTGCTCCCTTGCGAGCCCTGACTAGCCTGGTTCCCCATATCCAGGAACTGCTGTAACAAATGAATGGATATACAAATACAAAATGAAAATCAACATCAATCACAGCGGCAAAGGTTCCATCCACTTTGTAGCCTTGAAGCATGAATTAAAACATGCATGAAGGTAGGTAATGTATTACGAAGCTGTAGTGCATGTACCAGTACATAACAAAACCCCAACAGTGCACCTCCAACTTCAACATGCAGCTCAAACATGCTATACACGTACGTGTACATGTATACTCGGACTTCAATTATGTACGTATCAAAGACGTGGAGTATGAAAATGGGTGTATACATGTAAGTGATTTGCCAACATAGGCACACAGTGTGAATCCATTGTTGTATATTGCTCTTGGAACCACTAATTTCTGGTAAAGAATCTCTCAGGCTGCGTCTCTCGGACTGCGGCCGACACATTTATGGAAACTCTCAGCTTCTGGCGTCATCTGTTTCAACTCAAGTTCATGCATTACATCGAGCCGCAGCCAAGGAGTTGAAATTCCATCATGGTTGACTGATGGAATACTGAGAATGAGTTTGAAAAAGGTGGCAAACGCTGAAAGGACAGCGGTGACAATTCACACAGTTTCCTTTTCTTCCCTTCCAAAACACACCGCTGCATTACCCAGAAGTGGTCGCATTACATGACGGGAAAAGCTGAGTCAAACTGTCAAAAAAACTGCAAGTCAGACTGCTGCTGACGTTAAAGACGTTATAACTGCAACGTACATGTAAGCCTACAGGAGAGTGACGTGGTTACAGCCTACGCAGATATGTACATTTTATATAGACAAACTACACTTGCTTTCTGATGACTCAAAGCATTATATAAGCATCTGTTAAGTTTTTCCTATGTGGATGAGAGCAGTTGCTGTGAAGACACATTTAAGCAGCATTTTGGAAACAGAGAGTACTAATAGGTTAAGTGGCAATTATGATACAGTAACCCTGATGACGTCTGTGCTAGATGGCAGTGGACCAACAGAACCATAACTGGTATTAAGAAACAGGTGAAATCCCAACTCCTGTGAGGCTTTGCAGTTTATCTGCACAGAGTATTTGAAAACTGCAACTTCAGCACTTGTGCCGGGAATAGCTGAAAAAATAATCTTGGATTTAAGGCGGACACAATCATTAGGAGGATACGAGCTGTAGCAACTACCTTTCGAAATTCGCATCCACATTCTGAAATTCACATTGGGCAAAAGTACGCATCCGAGTTTGAGATCTAAGATTACCTTGTGAAAGTTCTCAATCACATCAAATGATTATCTCATCAATATTTATTTAAGCACTCAAAAGGGTATTCTGCTTCATCTGTAGACCTCCCAGAGAACAGGCCAATCAGACTAAAAGTGATCAGTTTGACTGCCATGGTGCAAAACAGTCGAGATAATTTGAGAAGCTTGAAGGACGTTTTCCCCCATTCTCCTTGAAATGTATCAGTTAGGGATTTCTGGGCTGCGAGCACCTGAATGTGTGCATGTAATACGCCGGAGTAATATCCATAGCACTTCTTCAGAATTCACGGTATAAAAGTACCTTGTTTCAAAGTTAATCACTCTGCAGCAACTGAGATCTTTTTGACTTCAGTATTAGACAGTCTGCCTTCAAATTCTAAAAACAAATCTAACTTTTGTGTGATATCTTTTTGCCACGCAAAGTCAAACCACACAAAAACTCTTTTATGTTCCAGGAGCACAAACAACTCCACTTACCCGCAACTGTCCAACAAGATTCCTCATTACTATCAAGTACCTGTCATAATCAAGATCGCTTCATGTTGACCATCTAACCTGCTAAGAAATCTGCCTCTAGTTCTACAGAGCACAGCAGCTGCCACTCATGTACATGTATACTGCCCTCACATGTACCAGCGAACTCCAACCAGTCAAAAAGTTACAGCCAAGTGTACTGCTTCAAGCTGCAATCATGCACTAAGAACACTGCATTTTGTCTGGATCCAAACTACTATAAATTCCCCGCAAGACAGAGGATGTGCAAGTACTCACCAAGGATTCAGACCCCTTATGAACAAACAAAATTATCTCTTTGCCAAGCTCTGAGCGTGCACTGATTCCCAAACGAGAATGAATCAGCCAGTCTCAAGCGGATGACACACGGCCCCCTGATGACAACTAGAGGTAGCCACGACTGACCAATTGACAGGGGAGCAGACGTACAAAGCAAGAGGGTGGGTACAGTGAGCACAGGTTGGGTTGACACAAAACATCACGGCCACCTCAGTGTCATTAGCTGGCTGCCTGACTCATTTCCTCTCACGACGACCTCTCTTTTCCTTTTGACTTGTTTTGGGCCAAGTTTCGCTTCTTTTTAAGCTTTACTTAAATTCACATGTACATACACACACAGGCAGGCCTAAGACCAGTTGAGCTTTTATGGGTTAAGTCACAGAAAGACAAGACGCAATTTGGAGATGTAATGGGACAACAGTCCCAGAGATTGAATGAATTTGTGAGAATTAAGGATAGCCATCACTCATAGTGAAACAGCCTACAGGGGGAAGCAATTATGTCCTACAGGAAATTCATTTATGCCAAGGCTTAACATACCACTTTTAGCTGCAGATTGGGGGGAGGGGATGTGGGAGGGGTGGAGGTTGAAAACCCCTCCCCCAGCCACTAATGTTACCATACCCATGCGATTAAAATAGAGCCAAAAATGAGAAGTGGCAAATTGCTTGGAATATAAGAGAAAGATTTATACCTGTACAATCTCAATATTGTCTGGGTAGATCTAGAGGGGGTATGCTGCTGACTTGATTTCCTGAACGCTCCCCCCCCCCGGTGCATGTACAATCCCAAACACTCGAAAAACAGCAGGACTCTGCAATAGCAACCTGCACAATGAGCTGAACAGTTCATCTACATGCACCCTGAACATCACATACTGAACATCCCACAAATGTGCTCACCTCTGAGCAGGAAATACAACATTCACTGTACACATACATGTAGCACACAAGTCACAAGTGCATGTGAAGAACATACGTGTACAATGTAGATGTGCAGGTACACATGTACATTAGCTAAACATGATGGAAAAGCATACTTTTTATTTCCAACTTGCTTTCCACAAACAGTCGCTTGCAAACTTTTCTCTTTCATCGTAAGGCCAGACATGGGGTTGTTTTGGGTTGCTTCAATGAAGAAACTTAATGCCGGATATTTTATAGACCTAATTTCTGAGCTGAGGAAATCAGACAACAGAACAGTGACAAATATTTGTGCCACTTAAGTTAGACTTTGGTGTAAATCCTTTCAGAATCGGTTAGCAAGTTATACGTAGGTTTTCAATCTGATCTGGTCACACAGTTTTTTCAAATCAAATTCATTTTTTCTAAAGACAATTTTGCAGATCTGGTTTTCAAATCAGTACCTGTTCCTCCGATTCCCTTTTAGCATCCTTCCTGTGACGCATTTTTAAGATTCCATCTGGTTTCTATCAGAACAAATGGGTGGTTAAAAAACCTGGGTTCAAATGCCTGCAGTACACTTTCTGCACAGGGCTTTCGCTCGTCTCTCCTTGACCATGTGGTCTGCCTAGACCAAGGGTCAAATTCATCCAGCGACACCCTAACAGATTCCAGGTTTCAGGCGAATCAATAGGAACCAGAAAGTGCAGTGCCGCAAACAAGTGGAGTATGCGCCCGTTTGTTCACACGCTGCTTCTTGCGCTCTTGCCTTTTACACACATAATTGCACACGTGATGTATTCACTTCACTACCAGTAATCTACATGACCTAGAATGTACAATCAGGTATGAATACTTCCAAGTGCACTTACAATTCATAGAGAGTAAACATTTGGCAGATTTTCGTAGACTTTCTTCACTCCATATAACACACCTGATTAAGTGGTTCTCCCGGAATTGGGTACAGAGCGCAGCAGAGCACTTTGTAGTCTCTACACTGTGCCCAGAAACTTCACCCTTATTCGTCTCTCTCAACCCAGGAGTATAAATAAGTGTCAGTATTACATGCACATGTAGCTGGAGCCCAACCTGCTATGGACCAACATCCCACCTGGGGGGACCAGAAATATTCTCAGTAGTTTCATGCTACTAAAAACACCTGATCGAGAGATTCTGCTTAGACTGGGTTCAAACCTTTGCAGGGGCACTTTCTTCAATGGGTTTTCATAAGTCCCCGTAGATCAAGCCATTCTGTCAAGTACTAGTAAATCCCCCGCTGAGAAACTTCATCCATTAGGCCTTCATCAATTTTCTTTCTGCCTTGAAACACAAGACTTCCTTTCTTAAGACCTTAATTCTGATTGAATAGAGACAGGCAAAGTTTACATTATTTGTGATTTGACAGGCCTAAGGGTGACCACAACTTCTCAAGGAGTGAAAACAGACAGAGAAAATTGAAAAAGGGCTAGCACAAATGATGATGGAAAGAGGTATTTTAAAGGTCTGTGTGGTGGATGTCACGGTAGAAATATGATGAAGTCTGTGGTAGCACTATGTAAATTCTCCTGAAAATGGACAGACCACACAAACATCGAGGGCACCGGTCTTTTCACTACCCCACTCACAGCAAACGGGAATTATTTCTCCAAAGTTGGTTTGTAATGAATCAGCCATCTTGTAATATGGCTGCTGTTTTGCCTCCAAGACTGAAGAATGTCTTGATATTGTTTCAAATCACAAAAGAAAATTGCTCAAGAATACCGTGGTCATCTAACTACTGAGCAGCTTCCCAAAAAAATCAAGATAAAGAACTATAGAGATGAAAAAATGATTTGTACAAACTAACAGTCTCAAACATCATATAAATTACCATTCACCCAAACATACTGAGATAAATTCTATGATTCTGTTTGTACATGTATGTATCTTTACAAAATATTGGCACGGGAAAAAAATGAGCTACAACTCAAAAGGAAAAGATGTTCAAAAATAGCACATTCTGAAATAGCCACCTAATCATCGTGGCTGACTTCCGAATCTAAAGTTCATGTCCTAGGTGACTGTGTTTCACATGGCACCAACCAGTACCGTCTTATTGCAGCTTCCCGTACTGATTACCATTTGATGGGAAAGTGGCTGGCATTCTGCTCGAATCCCGAGACAAAATTATGCATGCACCATCAGGCATGCCATGCACCATCAGGCATACCATGCACATGAGAGCAAGGTGCCGGTACCTGTAGTTTTTGTGGGCACCTGGTGTGCAAGAAACACTTATAAAATCTCAGGACGTCTGCGAGTAGTAAAACTCTTCTGGTACGTGCATTCGTAGCCATGTGCCACATGTACTGGTACCGATGCACATGCACACAACCACTTAGACAGCCACGTGTAACATCATGCGTTACAAAGTGTGAGCTAACTTGCTACACAAAGCGTGGTGGTGAACATACCGGTATGTAGTGGTACTGATAGATGCTTGTGCAATAACAACTACCAGGACATGATATGTACATGTACACATACAAGAGTGTGGGACTGTGTCAATTTCTTTTTTGCATTCCCTTTAATGCCTAGCATAAAATTTATTGTTTGTAAATAATATTGACAGAGTGGAAGCACCACATGTGCATACAGCCTGTAACTGCTGTCTAAATGTACATGTACATGTACATGTATATGTACATATATAAATGTACATATACATGTACGTGTAATGGAGTCTTGTCAGTACATGAACATTTACCCTAGATGCAAAATATTCCAAATGCCAATGCAGCAGCATTCAATGGAGATATCAAAAAAGATGAGGTACTGGTAAATCCAAGTCACAAATGAATTTGGCAAGTCAGAAGTCCTTAAGTCATGTTTTCTGATCACGTCTATCGGATGTGATGACTGACATCTGATGGACAGTAGCAGTTTCCTACCAAAACAGGTCCAACTTGTCAGCCTCCTTTTACAACTGTAGCTTGCCAATAGCTAGAGACACAGAGTAATTATTTCCCCAAGTCAAGTGTCAGGGAAACACAGGGAAAAGAAGGAAGTGCTTTCCTTTTATGTTAGAAAGGATGCTGAGGCAAAAATGCTAAGGTTTCCAAAGTTATTCACAAGTTGACATTATTGAATTGAAGATGACGTAAATGATCTAGTTTAGGGAACCCAACCAAAAAATAAAAGCAATGAGGAATGTTAACAAAAGATCAATTTCATAAATAATGAATAATAATAATAATATGTGATTTACTAATCTGAATGTTTTTAGCAACATTTTTTTTTAAATATTAAAGTGAGTCATGGAACCCAAAATAGTCTGGCACCGCCCTATTTGATAGATTACATTGAAAAACGAGATTCAGGAAACATGAACACAAATGGCTTTTTGTGATTATTAGGTCTACTGATTTAATTTGTAGCAGATTCCTTTAAATCTCAAGCACAGTTCTTTCAACTTTGTCAGGTTTGGTTGCATACAATTGTAATTACATGTAAATCAGGCTAAAACAAAAGTTGCCCATTTACAGCATTCACTGATCCAATGACGAGCAGGCCATTTTTTTTACTTACAATTTCATCATCATCATCATCATCATCATCATCCCCGTCATCATCCCCGTCATCGTCTCCTTTGCCCTCATTGAAAATATCATGCAGGTTCTTGGATGGTTCCTTGAGAGTAGTACCAGTGTCTTCATGCTTCAGGAATGTATCAAGATGCAGCATGCAAAACAGAACAAGAGCAGGAATTCAAAGTCGTTACAACATTTCCTGATAATAGATCCATACAACATATCAAAAAATAACCCCGGATCTGTGTTTAAGGTACACATAGTTTATCACAGCTTGACAACTGTGAGATGCAACTTGCATGCACCACTGCTCAAACTACGACTTTTTTTTCAAGGTCTTATTTTATGTTTAATTGTATTCTTTGTTTTTTTTTTTACTTGCAGCAGTATCTCACAACTTATTATTCCCAAGGAAGACGGTGATGTTGTCACAACTTTTAGACAGTTCCTTGTGCACTGCAGCTAGATTTAGCCAATAGAAAACAATTTGGGGGTGTTACATTTGATTTCTTGAGCTCATTTTACATGTGTATGCAAAGGAAGAAGTCAAAGAGTACATGGAGAACTGACAATTCTCCGATTCTTAAAGGGTAGCTGTGATCAATTTATTTTAATATAAACCTTCAAACTGCACCTTTGGGTCTCAGTTAACCTTATTTCCAATTTTTGTTTCACCATTTCAAAGGGTATTTTACTGCCCTTTTTGTTTTTATGCTAATGATATTTCCATATTCACGAGCAAAATTGTGATGTCATCCCAAGAAGAAAGCCTCAAAGTTACGTTAGTTTGTACACAGAGCCATTTTGTAGATTTTGGTGGGTTAAATCAGCAATTCTCCGCTGATTCATTCTTATTTATTTGCATCTTATAGCAATAAACATCAATCCCTTTTCAGAAATGGTTTTTGATAAGTAAATTCTGGGTTCCCAATTTGAACAGAAAAACCTACATGTACCGAACCATGTCTTCCTTGGATGACATCATGGCGACAGTGCCCTCAGTTGCAGAGGAAGGCATGGATAATTTTATGAGTGCAGGAAAGTGTACCTTACAGTGCATTTAACCAAAGAGAAATGTAAAAGAGTTTTCATACATTGCAGAAGAAAGCAAAGTTGCAGAAAAATTCTGTCCAAGAAAAATTCATTGCACCTTTACTGTGGTTGGCAGGATTCCTACATGTATATGTAACATTTACATGTAGTCATTGCAGGATCCAATTTTTCTGCTCCCTAAAAACATGCACTGTCTCAAAACAATCCACATAACATTTTAACCTTTAACAAACTCTACCCCTGCATGCATGCATTCTAACTAAACTTGTTCATATCCAACAGGCTTGTTAAAGGTATTGGTACAGTCCACCATTTGCAGTTGTCCAAACAAATTTATTGTTGAAAAGTAAACTTGTGTTTAAAGAGGGTTACATAATGCAATTCCCTGTAAAAGTATTCTTTCAAGTTGTCATTTACAATTGTAAAGAAAACAATGAGAGAACGCCATTTCAAATGATGCGTCTAATGACATACTTTAGGAAACTGCTATCAGTAGATTGTATCTAATTCGGCAAAGTGTGCACAAGCCTTGACACATTGTACATATGCACACCACTGCTATAATTCGTTGGTTCAGAGCATGAAATTGCTTGGGAATAATTCAAAACATCAATCCACAATTTTTGACCTGACTTTGAGATTCTACTGTTTATATAGGATGTTCAACATGTTTGAGAATATTGTTTTTCTCGGAATAGACAGCAATCACTAAGCGGAAACTCCATCAGGTTAGTTGTTATACATGTACAACCTTCTTTGGATTTTAAGCATATTTGTTGCCTCAAAGGAATGCAATGCACAGATTATAAATGATGGACTGTACATTTAACAGGGTGCTAGTTCATTGTAACAACTAGCTTTTAGCAGACAATCCCTAAATGGGAGGAAAAAACAACTGGCTTAGGTGAGTCACCACGGGTTGGTCTGTGGCGAAGGATCATGTTCAGATTGCACTGTGCTTGCCCGTACCAGGGGCCTGTGATCATCATCAACTGTATGGCTGATGCTGGCCATGCGTTGTACACGTACATGTACGTGAAGGAGTGACATGCATACTGCGCACATAACTTGGAACTTGTGCCCTGCGGGACAACTTAACTCAGAAGCTATACGCATGTCTCGGTTTTCATTCATTGTCTTTTTTCCTGGAAATCTATGCTTTTCTATGAAGGTGGACAATCAGCATGACAGCTCCATGCAAGAAAAAGAAACCACTCTTCAATATGTACAAAGTAACACATACACTGTGAACAAGTGAACATTTAAGTAAACAACTTATACAGTAATAGTGTACAGACACCATAGCTGTCCATCTGCATGTCCCTGCATACCAGAACTGTGCAGGGACTATATTTCCCATGGTGATTATGTATGGAATCTTGACCTAAGTAAAACATGAACAGCACCACCTCTGGCCGGTCAATTTCTGCAGAAACTCTCAACTTATATGCATGCACAATATGCATCCATTGATTGGGACATGGTGCATGTATCCAGTCCACCGAGGCCACCGTCTTACAAACCTGTTACAGCTTCACTTATTAGGCCATGTCTGACCTATGTATGCAAAACAGGCCCGTGGAAACCACTGGGTTCGAGACTAGCCATAGCCAATTGATTTTGTCGCGGCCTTATACTCTATTGGCCACTTGAGTTTGTAGAGATTCTGTACCAGGTGTGTCTAAAACTAAGGTGAGATTCCTTCCTGCCAACTGTGCATACTGGTCCAATCAATGCTTTGCGTTAGTCCTTCCAAAATGTGCAACTGGTGAAACAGACAGCATGCATGGCTGCTTTGTGAGGAAACAATTACAGCTCAAAAAGTAAGAGGTCACATTTTAAATGTTACCGGTTCACTGTCGCTTGGGCTGAAGCCGTCAATGTCTCCTTCCTTGGAGTTGTAATAGACGGCCTTCCGCTTGTCCTTCTTGACAAATTCCTTGAAGGAAAACGGATTGTTGGGGTCCTCGTCTTTATCGTCCCCTTGATCTGCAGAGGACGAGACACAAGATGGAGGCATGTCACCAACAGCATTGCCAACATTTACATATACATGTAAGTACAAAAAAAATGACAGGAGCCTGAAAATTTTGTTGTAGCAATTTAGGCCCAAATGTTTAGGCTCAGTAACTTCACTTTGTCAATGTCTGACTGGTAGTGAAACGGTTTGAAAGTGGGAGGGGAAGCCTGAGCAGGGGTGAATCCCAGATTTTTTGGTTGAGAGGTCAATTTTTTTGTACGGCCAATAGCTTGGTGGGAAATGGTGGTGGTGGTGGAGGGGGGGTTAAAACCTCAAAACCTTTTAAAAGGTGGGCAGTTCCACCGCCGTGGTACCGTCTACAGCTTTCTCATTGGATTATTTCAAAATGACTGGAGAAGTGGCCAACTTTTTTTCATGAGGAGAATTCAGCTTAGATATGAGCTAGAAATATGATGTACTTGAAACTCCTTTGCTACAATAGAGTTGACCATACCATCTTGTATAATTATGCAGTTCCTTTTTCAAATTCTGCCTCCTCTGAATTCTGACATCTTGGGTTTGTCTTCTCAGGACTGCACACATACATGTAGTCAAACACATTCTCATATTTTGTCGGGCAATGAAGGAATGAATTCTATTTGGCCAACAGTACAGATAATGGCACTTCATATATTTGCCCAAAGAAGTTTACACATTAGAACATCTCGAATTTATACAGTTATAAAGTATACAGAACATGTACACCTATACATTTTGTATCATTTTCTAAACTTTCAGCTTTCATTTTCTCTCATGTGTAAAAGAAATTTACTTTTATTTCTCAGAGTTTGAAAACTGGTATGGCAGCAAAACAAAGTAAAGGGGCCAGTAAGTTACTGTCACGTTGGCAATTGTTTCCCAGATGGTTGACAGTTTTACCATGCCTTGAGCACTCCACAACCTGCTCATCGTGTGGATCAATGTTGAGGTTATGACTGAATTAAGACCACAGAGTGATTTTTTATTTGAAATAAAAATCAACGTCCATTTTAATGTTAAAACTGACAGGCACATTTTGTTTTGTCCATTTTTGACCGTAAAAGGGAATATAACAATGGTGTAAGAACAGGAAATGCTCTTACATGTTCAGGTGTGTTGTTTCATTCAAACTACGGTACATTGTAGGCCTTCAGCTTGCAAGCATGTATGTTTATCTCACAGGTGTCAATTGTTGTTTTGATTGTAGAAACACTTAAAACCTGCTAAAGTGATTGGTCGCTTTCACCATGCTTTCTGTCATGCATTACTCCTAATTCTGGGACATTACGTGTACATGTACATGTATGGGATCCTACACACCGGTACATGCATTAAATACAAAACCAATAAACAGATAAAGAAAGATTTCCTCAGTACCCTACATTTTACTTGGGCTTTGGCAACCACACAGATGTTCCACTCTCATCACACTACAAAGTAAACCATAACATCCAGTCTCTGCCCAACTTTAAAAATAGAAAGTACAGCTCTGTCTTGTGAGGTGAGTCAAGCAGGACACAGTCAGCAAATTCAGCGACTCAATTTAACACAAGCAACATGCTCCAAACTGAAACCCCTTGACCTCGGAATCTTTTGCCTACTGACCTCTCTTGTTACTGCCTTCTCTCACCGATTTGCTCTGGTTTTTGGGCGATTTTTTAATCCTGAACTTGTACAGCGAAGTCATGTCGGCACCTCACGCCACAGCCGGTTAAATCCAGGGAGCAGGTTTGAGGGTGCACGATACTGGTGATTGATCTGGCATTGTTCATAGTGAATACACGCGGGCACTGCTGGTAGGTTGGAGGAGGGAGTTGCATGTACATGTAAGTCCATCACCCAAGCCAACTTTCAAGGACTATTTTTAAGTGCCTGGTACACATCCCGCTGGGCACTGCTGCACCACACTCGGGTCTAGTCATCAGGCTGCCTGTGCCCTGCAATGCCTGACGAGAGTGAGGGACAGACGTACATGTACACACACACCGGCAGTGCAGCAGTTAGCAGGGATGAAGCTGGCCAGAAGCGAGGAAAGGAAGCCAGGAGTGAGTCGGCATGCTTAATTATGCAGCGACACTCAGGATATTGACGAACAAAGACTGCGCAGGAAGCTGCCATATTGGGAATTAGACAGGCTGCGATGAGTGGAAAAGTACATGTATACACTGGCCTTGGAGTAACAGTGAGGGGGGGGAGGAAGTGAACAAGGATGTTGCTAATTGGTTAAACTTAAGAATCTGCAGTTCTTACAGTATATGCACAAGTCCCCACCGGCTTGTGGCAACAAGTCAGAATTGAGGCAGGATTTAAATGCTCTGACAGTATTAGATTTCCTTGCCCTGTCTAGGGGTTGAAAGTCACAGTGGTAAATTTTCAATTTTCCTGATGCCAACTTGAGACCATCTTGAGTCACCCAACACAAGGTATTTAAGTTTTCATACGTTATGTACGAGTACTTATGACAGCTTTCTGTACTTTTATGCACTGCAGAAAAGGCTTTGTGCAAAAATTAGAATGTACATGTACGGTATACATACATGTATTTACAGATATGTTTTACCGGTATGTGTGAACATTAAATGAAAATGTTAGTAGCCATTAGTATAGACATGCTACCTTTAAGTAGAATTTCTCCATTTTAATAAACCAGTTCCTTGGAAAAAAACATTGTAGGCTACATGTACATGTCAGACAAACTGTAACTGTTAATACATGTATATGAGTGTAGACGTGTTACCCACAATGTAGAGCTCATTTGAAACTGAGAGTGCTGCTCTTTGGTCCTCTTCAGATTAGGAGGCATGGAAAGAGTTCCATACATGTACCCAGTTGTCCACTGTGCCACCAAGCTGTTTGTGGGAGCATGACAGACAATGAACCCCACAGGTCTGGCATGTCTAGGGGTACCATGTACAGTGTGTACATGGATATTGCTTTACACCCTGTGCACAAACCCTATGTTGCTGGTCTGAAAAATTGTGTTTTCTAAGAAAATGTTTGGATATTTTCCCTGCTAAATTTGGCTTTTAGGGGGACATATTGGACATGTTTCTGATGGTTTAT